CGAAAAAATGAATTAAAGATTGGATTTCCGAATCGGAAAGCAACTGAGATTATAAACAATAAAGTTCCCACGAGCTATAAATTATAAACAATAATAAGAAACTATAAACAATTTTCATAAAGTTAAAAAGCTTTATAATTCAGAAGATCAGATAATGTTAGCGTTCGAGTGAATGAGTTGTATTTGCCGCAATGGGATGAAACAAACTACGAAGTAACAAACAGCAAAATCAAGTCAATATTCTTACTTCGTTGTTTTTCTGATATTTCTTGGCTGCAAGCGATTTGGTCGACAGGATGAGATTCTTGTAAGAGTTGTGTATAAAAATCGTTTTCGCGAGCCACTTCTCGTTGCTTCCGCTAAAACAGCTTTAGTTTAAATCAATCATGGCTAAACAAGAAAATTCGCTACATGAGGACTAAAATGTGAAAACGCTTATTTCATTTAGTTCTCTTTGAGATAAGTAAAAACTTACGACTAGCAATGCAATAAGGCAGACAAACCTTTAGGAGGATCGCTAACGTCCAATACGCGCTAACTAATGCAAGCTAAGTCGCAGCACATCGTGTTTGTTTGGTCCGCTGCGACAATTGGGGAGAGGGGAGGGGCGTGGTGTCTCAGTGGCAAACAGATCAGCTTTCAAATCCTGCCGGTTCGAATCTGATGGAGGGACAACCTATGTCATATCCATAAATTTCCTTCAACAAGAAATTAATCTTATGCTGCATAGACGCAACCAGCCGAGAAACGGGTAGTAAGTCACGTGACTTGCGAATAATACGGACAGCACCGTATTCCGGTCTAGTCATGTCAGATATATCGCCACGTCGTTCATTGCGAGCACCCTTGTAGCTGCATCTTGCCTTGATCCACCTGAAACTGACTGTCTAGCGTAATAAAAAGCGCAAGGTATAACTTCGATCGATTTAGCTGACAGTGGTATACTAAAAGTTCTGTCTATGACTCTGCAGAAACAAGCTCTTTGAGGATAAAAGTGAACTTTTTAAAAATAAGGAAACTTTCCTTTTCAATTGTTACTTAGAATTATGGATCGGAAAGTGAAAATCAACTGTTGTCCATACAGGCAACGGATCGGCAGTCGTTCCATAACTGTTTAGATCCGAGAAGCTTCTCATAAATAACTAATTGTAGGTGAAATCACTCATGTGTAACGGTACTAACTTTCAAAGAAACAACCTCAGATGTCATGGAAGGTGAGTGAAAGTGCCGAGCAATATTCGGCATCGCATGACGAAACACAATACATGGAACCGGCATCAACTGCAAGACAATTCCACTTAATTAACAATGACTACATAAATAAGCAAATATACCGTGGTCACCATAGATGTTTATCCCTGAAGAAGACGTAGCAAAACATGACTCCGGACAGATAATATTCGAAATCAGGCAGGAAAGAAATTAACTCTAAACTCAAGTCGATATACATCGCAGCATCGCGGGTCGAAATAGCGCAATTCGCAGAGCGCCAGATTCATAGGCGAAAGATCATGGGCTGGAGTCACACCCTCGCCATTCATTCTTTCCAGAAAAACGACTGTCTTTATATTGGAATAATCAGGACAATGTACGCTATAGTGCCTGCCGAGCTGTAGATATTGCCTTCAAGACGTAAGAGCATAATACTCCCGCATGGAGGCACCAAATGCTTCACAAAAGGTGGTCATAAATGGAGTCCACCACTAAACTGTACGAGAGAATGTA